ATAGTGTGTAACCGTTGTACCGGCAATAGCGTCAACGGCAGCACATACGAAGCGAAAGGGGAATATGTATCGTGCATCCGTTTCGTATGCGTTAGACATACACTTTCAGAATATATGAAAGACTGAGAGCAAAAACAGCACGTCGCATCTCATCTCTTGCTTTCACTTACGTAAGCAAAATAACAAGGGATGCGACGTGATGTTTTTCTCGCAGCTTCTCATATGTCGGTCGCAACACAATTTCAAACTCAACTGGTTACTAAGTTTTGAGTTTTGAATTGAACGTCCAATCAACTGTTTATAACCGTTTAAACGGGGAGAATGCATGTGTGCGTGCCATCCGTTTCGTATGCGTTAGCCGCACGAGTTCAGCATTTCTCCGCTCTCAGCTATATGCTGAGCAGCAGCAAATCAAGATGCTCTGCTGAAAGTACAAAACCTCTGCAATAAATTGTTTGTATGTGATTCGATATGCACTGCCTGCGCATTTACAATACCAAACAAGTGTTCATGGAACGCATAGCTCTCAGCATAGCTTATGTTTTAAGCATTTGTGGAATAAAATTAATCAAAATGAATGCTGAAAATACAACGTCAACTTCTCTTTTTTTTCTTGTTTTTCAAATCATTCAATTGAATGGGATTATTTTTAACTCTGAAACTATAAAATACAAAAATAAAATGGAAAATCAAGAAACAAAAAAAAATAATACTGATTTATAAATACCGACGCATTTGTAAAAATAGAATATTTGCGTTGACTTTTTGTATGGAGGAATTTCCGACAAAAATGTTGATAAAAAAGAAGAAGAGAAGAGTTGGCGATTCCTGGCACTAGACGCGAGCAAATTTGCAACAAATATTGTATGTCATAACAACAGACGGTATGTGTGTTTGTATATTCGTGTCATACAGACTTAAAAAATACCAACTTGATGTCGATTCGAAGAAAATACGCAGAAATTCTACAAAAGCATCCTTGAATCAAACAAAGCTAGCTTACGTAAAGCCAATTTAAATGTCGTCAAAAGGGTTCACATTGGTTTTTAATAGTTGTCAATTGCAGGAGAGGAAAGTACATGCGAGTACAAACACTTGTTCATCTGCTGAAATTGTTGTTAAGCATAAGTTATGACACGTGTATACACGTATATGCCATAATACGGGGGATCAATGAAAGCTCGTTTTTTTATTAATATTGTTGTTGCTGACCCAAATGTGTTTCAGAAAACAAATGTGTACGTGATACCGTTGTCACTTTAGCCTGGACGTCATCAACGTCTCACTATTCCAATGTAAACAATATATCCGATGACAATTTTTATTTTTCTCCCTGTAACATTTATATATTTGCCCACGAAGGATAATCACCAAATTCCATGAGCTAATAAATAGCCTACAATTTGCGCATTCAATTTTTGAATGCAAAGCAATTTTTTTTCCACTATTTTTGCACATACACAATACCAACACGATAAAAATGGTAAGCGAGGGCAGTCAAATCAACGTGCCGTAACAAATGGCCACTGAATTAATACTTGCTTAACTTACCAAAGGCATTTTGTTTTAATCTTAATTTTTCGTCGCTATAGGAAATTGGCAAAATCACAAGAGACGGAAAGAATTCGGTGATAATCAAAACACCATAATTTGAATGAATAAAATCAAACTTATATAAGCCAGCGACCGTTGCATTGTGTGTTGAATCGATCAAAAAGCACATAAAAAGCTATTTAAAATTGAATCAGATGTTTAATTACAATGCGCACATTGAACTCCGCGAGACAAAAATGTGAGTTTTTTTTAATTTGGAGCACTAAGCAACAAACCAACAAAAATGTATTTAAGCGACACTCCTTCAAAACAAATTGAAGCGAGCTATGATTGTATAACAAATGGATTTCTTATTAGAATTTCTTGTTGTGGCGATGTTAACTCAATAAAGCAATAGATTTTTAATAGACAATTACGACAAACCTCATCATCTTTATCCATATTGTCTAGGATATTGTTGATGATAACAAAGTTTTAAACAAACCATCAAACTTCATTCAAATACAAAAAAGGATGAAGATTTTATGAAAAATAATGATGATTTTATAAAACAATTTTATGATTAACTGATACAGTATGTTCAACAACAACAATAATTTGAAGATTTTATATTTATATATAGGTCAATTCAATGGTTTTAACAAATTAACCATCCAACGCACATGAAAGATAAAATTGTTTCAAAGTCATGTACTATTATTGTAAAATAACATGATTTTTTCCCATCATTCTTACAACGTTGCATGCATGTTACTTTTCAAACAATGACGATAACAAATTTAATACGAATATACGTTGAAATAAAAAAAGAGCATTTTTACAGCAGTAAAACGAACTTTTCCGTTGCTAACCAATAAGAATAAAATATGTGTTCGATTGTTAGAGCTTTTAAAAAAAAAAAAAAACAATAATAATGGGCCCTGCAACAATTGTTGTTTTGTTTTCTAAGATAATCCGCCACTGACAAGATTTACAGAAATTCAGCTATACGAACACATATCGGTTTTATTCATCTGAAAATGAAAACTAAAAAAACAAAAAGATAATTATCCTATCTTATTCTTAATATTGAGACTGCAATTTTCTCATTTATTCTTAGAGTTTTTTTTATAACTTTTCCGCATTATTTCATTCTTCCTATTTTTTTAAATTTTTAATTTTCCCAAATTGGCAATTGCCTAGATGTGCTGGCAGTATTTTCCATCCTTTTCATCTGCGTATTAAACATAGATTTATAATTTTTCGGGTTTATTTCCCTTAGAAAATCTAACCATATATTCCAGACAAGGTTTTTTAAACTTTCAAATATGATACTTTCACTTTGAGAGAGACGCAACGCATCGCTATAAAACCAGTTGGTAGGCCTATGAATTTTCTAGCAGTATAATTTTCTTTCAAAAATAAAGTGATGTATGTTATATGTTTTCCAAGTATTAAAAATAATAACTGATCGATGTAATCGAATTCAACTCGATGCATAAATCTGCGCTTTCCTTTCGAATCAAACGCTTCCTTTATGTTGATAATTGTTCCTGCAAGTGGCAGATCGCTTATAAAGAAAAATGTCACAATTCAGAGCAAAAAATTGCCATTGATAGTTAACTAACAAGTTTGTATACATGTTTGTATGTGTTGGCATAATTTTTTGCAATTTAGATAATAACGACGAATCCTAAAGGATTCCTAATATAAAGTCAAATTTTTCATACAATACATAAAGTTTTCGGAGTGAAATCAAATTTTAAATTACTTTTATGGGGGAATGTTATCGTGCTTTTGCGTACAGGGTACTCCCACAGACATTCCTATATAAAAAACGGTAGATTCATATTCTCTAGCCTCGACAACATCCATGTTTTTTTGGGGGTGGTGTTTATTTTTTCACCGACTCAAATATTTTATCTTACACAGTGTGCGGAAAAGTAAAAGTGCAGGCGCACAGCCTTCAGGTTTGCCATGTAAGTTGTTTGAATAAAGAGCATATTAATAAATGTTGCCTAGATGATATTTCATCACTTTTCATTATGGGAAAACTGTGTGGATGGTTTATTCTTATCAAAAAAGCTGAACGACACTGTTATTACAAATAACAATAATTGTGATCATATTATTTATAGATGCTTACAGAGCATTCGATTGCATTGAGCTACATGAGAAAATAAACTGAATCGATAAGATTATATTTCAAAATACACGTGTTTTTGTGTATTCCATCGAGAGAAATATTATTGCAGAATTTCATCAAGGGACGAAGTCGCGCTAATAACAAACCTGAAGGCAATAAGAAGAGAGAGAGAATCAAATAAAGAAGAAAAATGTTTATCATTTTGAAGTCTATTTCATTTGAAGGATCAATTAGTTTTCTCGTGCACATGCCGTCTTCAGCGATATGATGAGGAACTGTAATAATATCTCGACTCGTGGCATAATTACGAAACGAGAAATATGTGTGTCTGTATCAAATTGGATTTTATGAGTGGCATAAGAAGAACACGCACAACTACAAGCAGTAATGAGACGAAAATTCTTGAAAATGTGGCATCAATTTCCTTCACAGCATGCATGCCTGTACATTCATGATTTCATTGAGCATTGGAATTCACACGAAAAATGTGTGCGCTATTATTGTGCATTGGCGTAATCTGACTCATGGCTTGTCTCGTAAGACTTACAGCGAAACACTTGCACGTGAACACACGCCAAATGATAAGAGTATGATTTTGAAGTTGTTTCTTTTCATTTCTATTAAGAAACTTGCCACACACTTTATTTCGAGACATGTGTCGCTTATTATTTTGTAGTATTTTGAATGAATTAAATGAGTACATGAAGTACATCTCGAATAGTTCAAAAACTCGTGTCGCTTTTCCCTCGTCGAAATCAGTGTTTTGATTCAATACAATACTTTTTTACTTGGAATTGAAACCAAAACACAAATGAACTTTTTGTTCAACAGACAGAGTCTGTCAGACTTGATACAGGCAAGAAATGACTATCTGTTTACTTTATCCATTGATAAAAAAGGGAAAATATCTACAATTGACATCGATTTTTTCTCGGCTTTTCCGGAAATAAAAACAATTTGAAATTTCGATGGTTATACGATGGCCAATGTTTTTTCTTCTCAAGTTTCATAAAAGGCACGTGTAAGACCTACTTTTAAAATATGTCAATCAATTTACGAAGCTTTTGTCATGATAAATATCTCTTTTCATGAGAAAATTGCTTATGGGATTCACAAATCTCCCATTGCCGGTATAAATTAAAACGTGCTCTCAAAACGTCAACCGTCACACCTTGGTCAGATCATTTTTCATTTTGAATTAAGAAATCATGAATTTATGAAACGAAAAAAAAATCCAATTTACTATACCAGAAATCAAGCGAATTTCTAATTGGAAACATTCATTCTGTTAATTATTTTTAAAATTAAATAAATAGAAATATTTCAATTGCCAATAGAATAAATAAAGATTTTTCATTTTATTTCAAAATTGCAGCATCTTTCTGAATACAATAGTATTCTGAATTACATTCACGTTCATACTTTATTTTATTTTCTTAATAAAGTTCATTCTAAATTGGGCTCATTTCTACTAACTAGTTAGATATTTTTCAAGTGTTTTTGTTCGTCAGCCCGAGGATAGTCGTGATATCCGGTGAGCTTATTCAAAATATAGTTTATGAGACCTTTATCATTCAATATAGTGATATGCTGGGCTCCTGGAAAATCTTTCCAATAAATCTTGTGTTTCCCTTGAGCTGTTGTATTTATCCAATATTTGCATCCATTTAGTGAACGATCATTCACAACACCATCTCCATTGCCTCTAATTAATTCTGGTTTTGAATTATATTTTTCGCCAAAGTTCAGCCTAGAAATTAAATTGCAGTAAATATTAACGTGATTGAGTGGCTAGTTAAATATGTATGTTACTCACATTTCAACTGTATCAACACTGCTCCCAAACAAACAATGCACATCAACTCCAGGTGATGTGACATCATTGTAACCAGATAAATCTTTTCTTATTTCGACTATATTCGGCATGTTAATATCGCTAAGAAAAAGATTAGTTGAAAGTGACATATCATTTTTGTATAATTAAAATTTTCTTACTTGAAGAATGCATCAATGTTTTCAATTGTATAGTTTTTGTCTTGAAGAATTGCCAAAGTCTCGTCTGATTTCCAAAAATACTGTGATGGCATTAGCCACACAATTGATGGAAATGTTTCTTGAACACTTTTCATTTTGACATTGTTCAAGAATTTTGAATTCAAAGTATCGCCTACCGTCAAAGCAACAACCGCTTGAACACTGCCCCCATATGGAACCGATACGCTTATCATTTGTTTCACAAATCGATCTTTCCACTCTTTTGACATGTTTTGAAGAAAGTACAGCAGCATTCTTCCACCCATTGAGTGAACAACATAAGTTACTCCAACATTGTTATTTGTTTCGTATGCATATTCAGTCAGCTGCGCCAATCGTTCAAACCAGTCTTCATTTTCGTCTTTTCGATACAGAATATTTTATCAATTGCTACACATTTTTCGTATTATATAATAATGTTTTGCGGTAAAATGCACTTACTTGGCCCTTTGCGAAAGTCATAGGGAGCACCAAAGAGATTTTTACCGCGAACATAACCACGATTTGTTAGCGCATATGCAAGATGATAGTAATATGCACCGGAATCAAAGTGGTCAACAATGGGTGTTGTGTCAAGCCACTCTATGGCTTCTGTCCTTCCGAATTCAGGTAATCGAATCTCAACACCGTATGTATTTCGTGTTTTTCGCGTAACATTGTCATAATGTAATTTCATATTATCTATCTAAAATGTAAAATTTTATCAAAGAAATACGCCAAATAAACTCTGTGAAAAATTACCCAACAATCAATCGAATTTGGCAACATTTCAAATAAATTCAACCAAATATCACAATAATCGCATTGCTTGCGACACCATCGATGGGGAACGCTTAATTTATCCAATTTTGCATGGAGTCTATTACCCCCAAGTCCCGGAACTGTAATATTTTTAGAAACATTGTTTTAACATGAAATTGGATAAAATCACATGCTACTGCATACAAATCTCACAACATTCACATGGATTAATTTGTTCAATTCAATGTCACTATTATCATATGTGACAACCAGCACTTTCAACACATTTAAAGGACTGTAATCAGTGCAAAAAAACTGCGTTTGTGTGCATTGGGCGTATTCTTCGCAGTCGTGTTATCAAGTAAATACACATAAATGTTGAGATTATGAATAATATGAGCTCTGAATATCAATGTTATTTAATCATATGGTTTATGTTGATGAAATGTTATTATCAAAAATATAAACTTACTAAATATAACAGGTGATAGACCGTTTTGTTTTGAGTTAATTAAATTAGGTTGACTGATCGATCCAGACACACCATAACAAAATATAATCGATTGAATCACCACAAAATTAACAATTTTCATTAAAAATTTAATCTTCATCTTTAATTGCAATTATTTATTTGTACTCAATCAAATCTTTATTACCAATACTTCAAATTTATTTGTGAAGAAAGCACAATCGAGAAGCTTCTATCTTAGTGTTTCATTTCAAACTAAAAGTTTGCAAGACATGAATCGCCACATATGAACATTGCGCAAACAAACATAACTTGTTTCGTTTCCAACAGCCTAATTGGTAAAGTGGAAAAGTGGATTATAATTGATTGCTCTAGAATAAAAACAGCTTAATAAATGGCTGCATATCAAAGCGAAACCAGACGTTTTTTTCATATAGATTTATTGTTGCAATTCATATTTAATATGCTGTTTTTATTCTAGAGCAATCAATCATAATATATAGGTTTGAAAAGTCGCAATTGTTAAACGGCATGAAAGGTGTTAGTAAATGTACTCGCTGTGCAATTTTTTTTTTTTGATTCATTAGATGAACTTCAAATGTATTACAGGGAATTTTAAAAAGAAATTGTGATAATTTTTTTGTTTCTATTCCAGATTTATTGTATTATCGAGTTAGTTCATATTTTTACTTCAATTTCTTTTTTCAGCGAGAAAACTGAAACATTCGTATTATTTTTTAGCTGAAAAAGACAGTAAATAGAAAAATCCGCAAAATGTAATGTTCGCAATGAATTTCAACTCCAGGTGCTGTAAAATTATTATAAGCGGATAGATCCTTTCTCATTTCGACCACGTCCGGAAGGCCAATATCTCTGTGCATTAAATAAAGCAAACTTAATATCTGCATTTAAGTGCGAATTTTAATATTCTTACTGAAAAAAATCATCAATATTTTTCAGTGTGTACATCTTTCCATTGATATCAGCCAACAAGGTATATGGTTCCCAAAAATGTTCCGATGGCATTAGCCAAACAATCGATGGAAACGTTTTCTGAATCTCATTGAGTTTGTTACTTGAAATAATCGATGTTAAGAAAACTATTGGGAAATTTTGAAATCAATATCAAATCAGGAAAAAAAAGAGAGCGAGAGAAAATCAATGTGTAATTAAAGCTTAGTGAACAGCTAAGCTATATACCTATGTAAAGATCATATCCAATTGATAATGCTTGAATTGCTCGCACTATCTTTCCAGCTCTGCGGCATTTGTTGAAGAAAGTGCAACAACATACGTCCGCCCATTGAATACGCAATGAAGGTAACGCCAACGTCGTTATTGCTTCCAACTGCATACTTAGTCAAATGCTTCAATTGCTCGAACCAATATTTGAGCTCGTCTGTGAAACAAAGAAAAACCGAATTGAAAATTGTCAATAAAAAATGAAGATATCTCAATTGGGATTTAACTGTTTACTTGGTCCATTACAAAAATCGTATGGTGCACCAAAGAGATTTTGCCCTCGAACATAGCCTCTTTCCACAAGAGCATCCACAATGAAGTAATAAAAGGCACCGAAATATTCGCCAATCCATTCTATTGTTTTTGTCTCTCCCCACGCAGGTACTCTTTATAAAATCAAATAAAAATTTATCAAATTTTGTTGAATGAAAATATTTTTTTCTACAAGGTTTACCTTGTTATAGGTGAATTTTTGGTTTTACGTCTAACAGGATCATACTCCAATTTTAGATTATCTAACTAAAGAAAAAATAAAAAGTCTTACGGGAGTAAGACGAACTTTTCCGCACTGTGGTAGTTGCGTATTTTATTAAGAAAGTTCAAAATAATATTTGTTCGATTTTTCAAGCCTTTCAAGCATCGTAAAGTTCGAAACCAAAAAATATGTTTCAACTTTGGCAACGAAATATTTTTTAATTTAATAGCAGAAGTACCCGAGAAAAGATTTTTCACACTTTCATGATGAACCCATTTGTACGACATTTGAAAGTATTCTATTTTCTAACAAAATACTATAAAAAATATGTCTGACGTTAATTTTGCCATAAAAATTATTTTTGAAACACTTTTCATAACTAAAGGCACAAAAAATTTGGATCTTTGTATGGGAGCCATGTCTGTATGCTATATTAATGGTGTGAAACTTTGCACAGGTTATTTTTTCACAAAAAAATAACATTCGTAGGGTTTGGAGAAATTTCAACCAAAATTAAGGGTACCTCCCATACAAAATATTCGTTTTTGAGCCAAAAATTTAAAATATTGTATGGAAGGTACCCCTAACTTTGATCGAAATCTCTTCAAACTTTCAGAATGTTATTATTTTGTGTAAAAAATAGTCTGTGCAAAGTTTCACGTCATTAAAGTATCATACAGGCATGGCTCCCATACAAAAATTCAATTTTTTTGTGACTTTTACAAGGAAACTGTATTAAAAAATATGTCTGACGTTAATTTTGCCATAGAAATTATTTTTGAAACACTTTTCATAACTCACAAAAAAATAACATTCGGAAGGTTTGGAGAAATTTTAACCAAAATTAAGAGTACCTCCCATGCAAAATATTCGTTTTTGAGCCAAAAATTGAAAATTTTGTATGGGAGGTACCCCTAATTTTGATTGAAATCTCTTCAAACTTTCAGAATGTTATTTTTTTGTGTAAAAAATAGACTGTGCAAAGTTTCACGTCATTAAGGTAGCATACAGGCATGGCTCCCATACAAAAATTCATTTTTTTTTGTGATTTTTTCAAGGAAACTGTTTTAAAAATTGATTGTATCTCAAAAATAACCTCAGATTCGGTTTTCTCGTGCCAAAAACCCCCCAATACATATTTTTGAATGTTTAAGTCCACATTAAGTATGACTTTTGGACGAAAATTGGACTCTTTTTCATAGGTATCACTCCAGGCATGACATTTTTTCCCATCAACCAAAGTCGCTCAAAAGCTAATGATTCCTATTCCTCGCGACCCCCAATCATCCTGTAAAGTCAGATTTTGAAATAAGTTTCTACGATGAGCGCAATCTTGCTAACAAATTTTGCGTACGACGTACAACGTACGACGTACGACGTACGACGTACAGATTAACATAAACCATGCTCAAAACGGCCTGATTCGGGTTCGCTGACCTCAGAAACGTCCAGAAAACATGTTTCTGAAGTTTTCAAAATTTTGACCGATTACAATACTTTTCACCTTACACTATGTGTGCGGAAAAGTAAAAGATGGTTTAACGCATATTTTGTTAGAAACGTGTAAACTGTTCGGCAATTACCCAACAATCAAACGAAAGAACTGGATACACCGAAAGCCAAAGATTAAAATAATCACTTTTCTTAAAACACCACCAATGACGAGCGTTTGGTTTGTCCAATTTTGCTTCCAATGTGCTCCCTTCTAAGCCCGGGACTTTTTAAATCGAAGCAATGAAGCAATTAACATTAAATTGACAAATATGAATTCCATAGAAAATACTTACTCAGTATAACAGGTGACTTCATACAATCGGTGTCTTCTTCCAAATTGTCTTCTACATCATTTTCGTCGAAAATTTTAAAAGAACCGCTCAAGTCAAAAGAACCAAATCAAGTGTTCAGTCTTTATATTTGTAATAAACTGCCGCTATGTGTAATATGTTTCTACTATTATATTTATATTACGTTGATATTTATTCACCGCACTTTTATAAAAACCCATTCGGAATTTCTATCAATTCGAAAGAAAAATCTCGACAATTCTCCAATGGTTATGTCAAGGAAAAAACCTATATTGCATCAAAGCGTCTATACAATACATGTTTTACAAAGAAATGTTATCAAATTTCACAGTAAACTTCACTTTACTAACATACTATAGTATAGCTAACATATAATACAATTGTATAAATACAACTGGGTCAAAGAGGGATCGGTTTTACGAAATAATAACTTTGAAAAAAAAAAACTAACACGTCAAAGTTTGAATTCAATGTCTGCTTGAAGCCCTTAGTGCACATAACAAACTCTCTATTCATGTATCACAGGCTTTTGTGTAAGCTTGTTAGCAATGTTACATTATTTGTGACTAATAAAACAAAACCAAGAGTAACGAGATGACGTTATTCTGACGAAAGTAATGTCAGGAAATGTTGTTGTTGATAAGTCTAGTTACTGCGATTTCGTCGTTCCATTGTCAAACAGCAGTGGAATAAACATCTTTATTTTCTTTATGTATTATCAGTCGCATTACAATTTGGAAACAGACGTAAGATTATGCTAGCCGAGTTAGCGGCTGCTGAAAATGGCGGACTGAAAAAAACAGCTTAAATAGCATCAAAGTCGATTCGTCTGCGGCATGCATATTATATTAGCAAAAAAAAAAAGTGATTGTTATATTATACGGCTCCGCACATCTATTATATAATATTTGCATAACGCAGACGCATCCACTCAGCCCGCAATTATCAGCCAGCAGAATCCTGTGTCTGCTTGCGAAATAGTGTAAATATACACGAAAAAAAAACCAAATACATAACTGATTAAATCCTTTCAACGGGCACATAAGTGTATATATTTTTAGATTCCAGAGTAGAATACGTTCTCGTTTTTTTTTATTTAGTTACTTCAAGTGTTTGACCTCGTAGAGTATTCATGTTGACACTTTAATTGACTTATTAAAACAACGTGATGTGAAAACCTGTAATTTTATTGAAAATGTTAAGATTTTTATTCAATAAATTTCAATCGATCGAAATTCCCTATATTTCATTTGATTCATATTAGTTTTATGTTATCCTTTGCGGATATATTTTCGATTTTCTAAGCTTTTTCAATTAAATTTTCCTTACAAATTATTTACCAATATAAAAGGTAATTTATGAAAATTGACTTATGTTTTTATGTTTCTTCAAAATTCAATTTGATGACTATTTAAATAATTTTTCCTCTATTTTCGAATGTTTATAAAAAAAATATCCGCGAACTCGCACTGAATAGTGAATTGGGTCCATCTGCAAATACTTGCTGTGGTTCAATATTGGCCTGTTTTGCAGACATCTCGATTTTATTTTTAGTTCGCTTCATTTTTGGGATTTTCTTTGATGCCTTGCAACCTATCGAAAAGAAAACCATATTATTCTATACTCATGTGCGAATCGATTGTAAAAGAAAGAAACAAACACTCACCATAAAATGTGTAAGCATTTTTTACTGCAAGAAGGTGGTATGAATAACATTGATTTGGCCTCTCGTTTGCAAACGAAGCACCAATTTTTGTTTTTCGTTTCTTGTATAGCATTTTGCACATCCACATTATGGTTTGCCATCAATTTACTGTTTTGTGCTTTCAATTCGTCGATCAGTTTGTCTTTTTGCTTCAATTCACTTTCCAACTGATCAATTTTTGTGGTTGTTTGTTTCAACAATTCGTCTACCGACTGAATGTTGGCTTGAGTTGTATTTTGTTGAATTGCTTGTGTGGCGCATTCAGATTCGTGATCACGCGTTGATTGTACTGGAGTTGCCGTTCTCACTGGTGAGCTTACATTCGAATCGATTTCGTTCGGTTTTTGTGCTGAACTATTCTGGTTTGAAGTAATTTCAACTTGTTGAATTTGCTCATTGTGCTCTAGCTTTTCGGATTGTTCAACAACTTTTTGATTTTTTAAGGTTGATTCAGCATTGTGAGTTCCTTCAATGTTTGCCTTTGGCATAATATCAGATTGATCAATTTCATTCGATTGAATATTTGCGTTCGAATGCAAATTATGATCCGGACTTTGTGCACCATTTTCAATTGTTTGTGGTGAATTGTTATCGAATTGTTGTGATTCTGGTTCTGGTTCGATTTGATGTTCCGTCTCCGCATTTGTTGTGATTTCTTCCGTATATTGTGCGCTTGGAGATTCGGGAATTTTTTCGACGTGAAACTCTTTGGTCGGACTTTTAAGAAGATGGTCAAGCGGAGAATCGGGCTGCGGTGCGGGAATTTCTAGTTCCATGTCCATTAGTTCGTTGTCCGTTTCAGTATCACTATGAGAAATTTCCCGGTTAAAATCGTTTGAAACTTTTGGCATGACTACCGAGTCATTGCATTGTGGATTTTCGGTATTTGATTTGTTTATTGGATCCACATGATGAGAAGCATCGGTCGTTTTGTCTTCGATTGATTCCTTTCGAACAGCATAATGCCTATGCAACAAGCCGTATGATTTTCGACCAACCAAAGTTTGTGAATCACTGTTGAGCATTTTATTAGTATTTTGTTCGCTTGATACGCTGTTCCGTTTTGAATATGTACGGGCTGGTGGTTTATTTTGGAATACACTGTGCTCTTCATCATCAGATGACGGGCTCGAGTATGCATTTATTTCTTTTGAAATTTGAGTTTCATTTGTGGTGTTTGGACGTTCTTGTTCGGTTTCTTCTTCGTCTGATGATATTACAATCGCAACCAATTCGTTATTTATCATCTGAATAGCGTTGATATTTTTGAGTTCCGGTTCACTGTCAATTTCGGGCTCGACTCCAGCACTCAAATGTATCATCATTTCATACTTATTGCTCTGTTTTTTGTGTTGTTCCCCTTTGGCTTGCTGGCCGGTCTCAATTTGCTCTGTGTGCTCGGTTTCAGTGTGCTTTGTCGCTGTGTTCTCGGTGTAGTCGGCCTCAATGTGCTCGGTCTCATCTTCATATACATCGTTTTCGTCATTGCTCTGTTGACTTTCACTTGCTTCTTCTAAACCCGAATAGCTAGAATTCATCATTCGAATGAATTCAATGTGTTCTTTATTCAACATTTTGTCACAACGTTCCACACGAACAAAACAATCTTTCAACCGATTTGGTTTCGATTCCATTGAACTGTTAATGGCTGGTAGGGCGGATGAATTCAGTACTTTGCGACGTCGAAATTTTCTCAAATAGGTCGGTTTTGTTTTGAGACTGTAGTTTTTGTCGAGATTAAGTTTTGGCGATGGAATCATATCCGTGAGATGGTCACCAATGTGATTTGCATTGAATATCGATGTTGGAAGCGGCCTATTTATTGTGCATGAATACTTTTTCTCGATATTTTCGATGTATTTGTCGGCCTCCTATTTGAATTGCAAAAATAAGTATTGATTAAATTACGATTTTAAAAATTATTTTGACGTAAGATGTACCTTGACTGCCGCATCAAATTCAATGCGTTCGCTTTCATTGAGATTTTGGTTTGGATTTTCCGAATAGAGAAAACAATCATGGGTTGCAACGTTCAACATTTCATGTTTTCCAAAGAACCGCACATCAATTTTACTACGGAATTTATCGGCAAAAGCAATAACCTTTGCTGGCCAGTATGGATTACCTTTCAATTTGACCCAAACTAGACAATGCGGCGGATTACACACTTCAGTAAACCACTCATTTGGTGAAATTTGATTTGCTCGTTCAAAACACTCGCCACACATTTCGACATCATAAACTTCCTTTTCGCATATTTCTTCCAATTGTCGCGACCAACCCAAACGAGCATCATTCTCTATAAAATACAATTTATTTGTGTTTTTTTTTTGTTCAAAAACGTTCTTAATATTCACTTTTTACCATTTAGTACAATTTCCGCATTATGCCGAATCCACCTGATGTCGGTCATGAAGTCCAATGTTGTCTTGTACCGAAGATCTTTAACCTTTTCCGAAATAATATTGAAATCAAATGGATTGATGATATTTGGGCCGCTAACCACTGGCTTTCGAAGTCTGGAAAATGTAGTTCCTAGGCGTTTGAACTGAATTTTAATTAAGAAAACATTTTTTAGCGTGGCAGTTAAAGTAAAAGTGTAAATAGAAAAATGTGACTCTTACATCGTCATTTTTCAGTAGTCGATCGGTGATGAGTTCAAACATTCTGTGAAGGTGATCCATTTTAACGCCTCTGTAAAATTGGAAAATTCATGATTTTCTAGAAGTCAGAAGGACTTTTAGCGAGTCGAATTGGTAGATCTATTTTTCTTCGATCAGAGCTATCCCGAATATTGTATTGTAAAATCACGAGATGAGAACCATTCAGATAGTACTTACCTTTTGATATAGTCGTTCTCTGCCGCTTCCAAACGAACGCACAATTCACAACGATAGCCCGATTTATGATCGGCTTCTTTGGTACCAATACACCGAGAATGATATGATCGTATGCATGTTGAACATCGGTGTTTTGCATTGCTGACGTGGCAAATCCAACAATATGCATCCCAAGCCCGTGTTATTTTCGGTGGAACGGGTTCCGCACTGTCCTCAGACCCACTGGATTCAGTGATTAACTGCCTATGTGCACGTTTACGTGACATTTTACCTGAAAGTCGATGCAAAAAACAATAATTGTATCTTGAAAATCGACAATTTTCCTTCGAAAATGGCAGAAGCCTCTGTACACACTTCAAATTGACAGTAACAAATGTAAAAAAATTACAAACTTCGTTCAAAATATCAAAAAACTATGCGAAATTCAAGTTTACGAATTGTAAACTCATTCAATCAAATTCAATGTGATTCTATTCAGTTTTTCTTTGTTGAAGTCAACTGTCAAAATAATCTATATTTCTATATGGCTGAAACACTGGCACTTTTCGAAAACTTCAAAACTGATGAGCGCGTTTACAAATGAAGATGAAAATAAGATACAAAAAAAACACCGTACCAATACTGTACACGATTGGTATACAACACTCTACAAAAAATGTATAATAATATTGACAAAAAAGAGATGGTTGTTTTAGTGTTATTGCTATCAATAAAAACATAAATAAAAACATTCAAGAGGACAAGAGACAGAGGGAGACCGAGCAACATTGTTTCCTTGCAAAAATGTGTGGTTCGACAGTGACAGTTTTTTGAGTTACCGTTCAAAAACGTTTACACAGCACCATTTGAAATATGAGTATACGATAACGATGGTGCTAGAATAAGAACAAAAATTTGACAACTAGAGTTTTTAACATTCTGAAACTTATTTTTTTTGTCTTCATTCAATGAACATGAAAAGCAGAAAATTCTGCATTGAATTTGCTCAATTCAATAAATAAACCTTTTGAAAACTCTACACAATCTGTGATAAAACATAACATTAATGATGCTATGAACTTTATTGGATCAATCGCTCAATTACAATTTCCAATCAAAATGTCAAAATTGTATTACAAACCTTCTTTGAACAACTTTTTTGTTGTTTCACCAAAATCTTTCGTTCGCATTTCCCGAGCGATCGTATTTATTTTGGCGTTTTGTTCACTTCAAAAAACTATTTAACACGATATTTTATGAATAAAACTGTTTTTTGTCGAAATAAAAATGTGTTCTCTTGCATAAAGAATTATGCTTCAACTTGTGTGTACGATTCAAATAGAACTAAAATACAATACCGGCATTCACGCTGTCTAACATTATACAGTACAGCGTCACGTACACATAAACAAATTCTGAGAAGTAGAAATCAAAACAGAGAGCACGCTAATAAGTGTAAACGAATATTGTGTTAGGCTAAACACTGTTAGCAGCCGATACAATGAGAGATGTAATGGTATGCATATTGTTTGTTTAGTTTTGCATAAAAACATTCTCCTTTCGCCCCTTATTTTAAATGACGTTTATGATTACATTCAACTTTTTTATCTCTCTTATTCTGTTTGCTTTTCGTTTCAGAATTTTTTCATGTGAATATAAAGAGAGTTTTTTGATTTGAGCTCTTGAAACAATGTGCCGTCGAAAAAATACGTAACCACAGAGATTCCTTTAGATTATATCTGTACTGAATAGCTAACCGTGTTTTGATAAATGCAAGAAAAAAATGAAAACATTTCCATTTCCCAATTTTACATGTTTTATTGACATTAACCAGCCATACAAGATTCGCTCGAAAAATAGACAAAAAAAATATCAAATTTCCATTAAATCAAATGAGTAAAACTGCTTCGAATTTCTCGATCATGAATATTTGGTGGAATTGGTGGTATTTCGTTAAAATAATCGAATTTTCATCATATTTGAGCTTGGTCGTTCAGTGGAACGTGGATAATCATGATCGCCTGTGAGTTTGCTCAAGATATAATTGATTGGGCCTGCATCTGATAGTAAATTGTAGTGCTCTACGTTCGGATATGCATGTTGATAAATCTTGTGTTCTCCTTGAGAGTCACTATTTTCCCAATGGCCACATCCAATCAATGACCGTCGATTTACGGTGCCATCTCCATTTCCGAGAATAATTGTCGGATACTGATTGTATGCTGCACCAAAATCTAACCTGTAGAATGAAGTAGAACTTTGAAAAAACTTCAAATCATGTATATTTGAATAAAAACGTACCTCTCAACCGTATCACCAACGTTTTCCCCATATAAGCAGTGCACCTCAACTCCTGGTGCAGTAAAATCATCAAATGGTTCTAGGTCTTTTCGCATTTCGACGGCATTTTTCAAACCTATATCACTGTTGATGAAAAACAAAACAATTCTCGTTATCTTCGGAATGATGGTATATCTGTTTCTGGAAACACTTACTAGAAAAACTGATCGATATTCTGAAGTGTGTAATTCTTTTTATTCATTGTTACCATCACTTCGTCTTGTTTCCAGAAATGTTTGGAGGGCATTAGCCACACTACCGACGGACACGTTTCTTGAACTTGTTTCATTTTGATGTTTTGAATGACATTTGCTCCAAAGTCATAACCAACCGAAATTGCTTGAATCGCTTGAATACTTCCGCCCTGGAGAATGAAAATATTGAATATGAATAGAAAATCAATTTTTAAAGTAACTTCTATCCTACTAACTCACCCACGGTGTGCTTAATGTTATCATTTGTTTAACATATTGATCTTTCCACTCTTGTGGCATTTGTTGAAGAAAGTGCAAAAGCATTCGTCCTCCCATCGAATGAGCAATAAATGTTACGCCAATGTTATCATTCATTTTGTACGAATATTCAACCAATTCCTTTAGCCGCAAAAACCAATCTTTATTTTCATCTATAAATTGAGGGAAAAATAAGAAACAATTTTGTAACTCAATTCATTTTTGATTGGTATCGTCGCTTACTTGGTCCTCTGCGAAAATCGTACGGTGCGCCGAATAGTGTGTATCCTCTTGCATATCCGCGGTCGACTAGAGCATGTGCAATACTATAATAATATGCTCCGTAGTCATATCTATCAACTATTGGTGTTGTGTCAACCCATTCTAAATCCTCGGTTCGTCCGAATTCAGGAAGTTTAAACTCGACGCCTGGAGTATTTCTTGTTTTTCGTGTGACATTGTCGTAGCTCAGTTTCATATTATCAACCTGATTTGAAGTAAATAAAGACAAAAATGGCTTAAAAGAACGTTCACAATGTTATACATTCAATAAATTACCCAGCAATCGATTTCCAACGGTACCATTTGTGTAGGATCCAACCAAACATCGAAGTAGTCGTTATTTTTCCAGCAAAAAAAATGTGGAACTATTGCTTTGTTAAGTCGTGCTTGGAGCTTGTTACCACCGCACCCAGGGACTTTGAATGAAAAAACAAACAAACAAACAATATTTTATTAAACATTTTCATTTTGCTGATTACCGATTATCATATCAATTCAAAAATGAAATAAAATGTAATAATAACACAATTGTTTTTTTTTTTTCTTCATCATTTGAAATTCTCTTAAATTTATTAAATTTCTGTACAAAATATATTTCTTTTCACTTAATTGACGCAGTTCACAGAAAAAAGTCTTTTGTTCTAAGTTTGTTTTTAATGCGGCTCTTTTCCAATCTCATATTTTAATTCAACAAACAAAAAAAAATCAATCAATTGAGCCAGTTGTGGTGTAGTTGATGTTGTCGTCGATAATCGTATCGTTCGTTTTCTTCAATGTCATACGTTTTATTTCGAACTAACAAATCTAAAACATATTCAACAACTCGTTTATCGCTTAAAATTCCCATGTGATCGACGCCAGGGAGTTCGATTGAATGAATTGTTTTTCCGCGTTGTGCTTTCGTTCCGCTCCAGCGTTCGCATGATTTCAACGATCTTGCGTTTACAGTACCGTCACCGTCGCCCGTCACAAGCGTGGGTGTCGTTTTCAAATCACCCTTATAATTTAGTCTGAAAATTAAACCGAAATGGAATTTTCATTTTAAAAGGTCAATTGAACTATTAGACGATTGCTAAAAACAAACCGTTCAACCGTTGGCATTCCTTCACCGTACAAACAATGAACTTCAACACCGGGAGCTGTGAAATCGGTGAATGGTAAAGTATCCTGTCGCATATCCCATCCTTGCGGGTAACCTATATCACTGTAAAAATAAAACAGAAACAATAAACTTATTTGTTGGCATTCACGTTTCATTTGACTACTCACTCGAAAAATTCATTTAGATTTGACATTGTGTATTGTTTAGTGTGCGTTGTGGCTAAAACTTCGTTCGATTTCCAAAAGTGTGGTGATGGCATAAGCCATGCGAGTGACGGTGAGGTGATTTGTTCGGCCCGTAACACACTGCCGCTCAATGCAAACGAACCCAGGTCATCGCCGATAGCAAATACTTTAATTGCTTTGGCCGAACCAGCCCATGCCCCTGCCAAACTGATCACTTGTGCGATGTACTTGTCTTTCCATTCTTTGGTTTGCTTTTGTAAAAACACAAGCGACATCGGCCCACCCATACTGTGTACCAGCAATGTTATGCGTTGCTCACCGCCCTGTGTGTATGTATCTTCGACGAGTTGCTTCAAATCTACAAACCATTGTTGATTCTCATCTAAAATACAAACCACAATAATTACATACCGAATAAAAACGATTTAATAATAATTTTGAAATTGACAAATTTTACTTACTTGGCGCTTTACGAAAATCAAATGGAGCACCGCGCAATGTAACATTTCGAACGTATCCTTTGGCCACTAATGCATTTGCAATATCTTTAAAATATGCACCGGCCAATGATTTTGTTATGCTTGGGTCTAACCATTCAACTACTTCAGATCGTCCAAAGCCAGGTATGCGTATCGTTACGCCTGGCGTATTTTGAGTTGTGCGCGTTTTATTATCGTATGTCAGCTTGAATCAATAAATTGAAGTTAGAGAGTATTTTTTTCTTATTTTGCATTTGAATTAGACATACTTTTACGTTGTCGATCCAACAATCTATGACCAGAGGAACGAGCAGTTTTGGATTCAACCAAATGTTGAAAAAATCGGCTGTTTTCTCGCAATAGTAATGCAGGGACGATGTTTTATTCAATTTGGCTTCTACTTGACTTCCACCATCGCCCGGTACTACAAATGCGTACAATGAGATTTTTTTTTGGGTAAAGAATTGAATTAAAATGATTTTTTTCTTCTTTAAAATGAATAGCAGAGGGGGATAGAGAAGTATTTACAATAGAAAGACCAACAACCAATGTGAAACCATTTAAATGCGAGCAAAAATGGACAATGTGATAACAAGCAAATATATACATACACTGAGAGAAAAATGTTATGTAATAAAATGTCGATGTTTACATAGTTTTAGTAGTTTGAATGGTAAGCATTTCATTTTTCGGCTTTTAATGCATTTCTATACACTTAATTCACACACTATATTTACACATTAGGAAATGACCAAAAGCAATAAAAAAAACTTGATATCATTGAATGCTTGTTATTATTATTATGGAAAGTGTGACTAATCACACTGCAAAACAAGAATAATAACAGTGTTCAATTGTTGCTGTGATACTTACTGAATATGACTGGCGAAAATTTGTTCGGATTCAAATCATTCACTTTATTATGATTATGAGTTGATTCCTTTCCGTTCCAAAAATCGAGACGAGCATCGCACAAGCAAAATAATAAAAGTATAGCAGTCCATTGAACGATCCTCATTTTTACCAAATTCTTTCAATTTTCGCAACAAACTGTGGGTATTTACGACTTATTATCGACTGTTGTTTTGTTTTTGTACAACAGACAGACGCAGATATATAAAATTATCACTGTACGCGTGCTTTGTATTTATATTACAAGCGATCGTGTAATTGAATTGTTTTCGTTTTAAATTTAAACTGAATCACTGCTGTCCAACTAAATCACTTCAATTTGTGAACACCGATTAACAAATGTGTCACAATGCGACAAAAACAACAGATTAATCAAATCGTCCTTCCAATATCACAATCGTCGCTAGACTGGCAGAGACAAAGGAACACATGCAACGAATATGCTTTGTACGCACCCAAACAAATGTATGCTCAACACAGACGTTGTCTATCGTCTAAACTAATGTGTTCTTATATTCAAAGTTGTGCATTTGTGTATGTAATTGAACTCTTGTTGACCTTTTTTCAGTCAGACACTTTTATGTTTAGATCTGAAATGTGTTCACTAGAATGAACTTTGAATCATTTTTTCGGTGATAATAATGAAATGAATGCAATAAATGACTTTACAAATTTTGCAATCAATTCTATTTACGAAAATGAAGAAAAAAAACACCCAACGGAGAAAGTCTGTTTTCTGTGAGGTTTTGTTTTGAAAATACAACACATTCACATAAAACTATACTGACATTTGAACAGATGTTGCATTAATCGTGTGAATGAACCTTAATCAACTATGACATTTCATATTCACCACCGTTCATATTTCAACTGTATAAACTGTCACATTGAAATGTTTAGCTCAAACATTTAACAGATCAAAGAAGCCGGATACATTTTGCATTGCGATTTCGAATTGTTTCTTTTTTTTAAATTTAAGCAATAATACAATGAGTGCACCATTGTTTAACGTCTCTTTGAATCAAATTAAACGTGATATTCAGTTAACCCAAATAGAATGTAGAAAACGTGGTTTAACACACACTGCTGTTTGGTTGGCCGAATTGAAATTGGGCTTGGATCCTGATTTACTTAAAGAAAGTGCGTCGTTGTCATCATCGTCTTCAACCGAAAGTTTATTGGATGCAATGAAAAATTGCTATACCGATGGCATTGCAGAAAAAGAACGTGATGTTTACGATTTAGCGCGAAACTATTATGATGCACGTGAGTACGATCGAGCTGCACATATTATTCGTTATGCAGAATCACCGGTGCCGCGATTTTTGTACTATTACTGTATGTATATGTCAAAAGAGAAAAAGCGACTGGATAATATGACCGACAAAGCCAATTTGATTGAATCCGGCCAATTCCGTGATTTATCGGATTTGATGGTGAAACTTCGCAGTTTGCATTCGAAACGGAAATTGGATGCATTTTGCTTGTATTTGTATGGTGTCGTATTGAAAAAACTTGATCTCAAAGAATTGGCTGTAACAGTTCTCGTTGAATCTATTAATGCAATGCCGACATTGTGGTGCTCATATATGGAGCTCGTACCACTGTTGGCCGACAAAGATGAAATCTACTCGGTCAACATTCCGAATCACTGGATGAAAGCCATCTTTCTGGCTCATGCACACGTCGAACTGCTGTTGAGCGACAAAGGAATCAAGCTGTACAATGAATTACAAAAATCTGGTTTCAAGAATTCAACATACATGGTGGCACAGATTGGAAAAGCATTTCATAATAAACGAAGTAAGGAAATATTCGGAATTTTTTCTTTCATTATCACGTCAATTAGTCCAAATTTATGTTGTGATTTTTTTTTCTATTTGAATAAAGCAACTAAATTACGTTTTTCATTGCAGGCGTTGAAAAAGCCATCGAACAATACGAAGTACTGCAAGATATGGATCCATATCGTTTGGATAACATGGACATTTACTCGAATCTGTTGTTCGTGAAAGAAATGAAGAAGGAAATGTCTGAATTGGCACATAAAGCCATGGAAATCAATAAATATCGACCGGAAACCTGCTGTGTCATTGGTAACTATTACAGTATTCGGTCCGATCATACAAAAGCAGTTGTATACTTTCAACGTGCACTAAAATTGGATCCAACCTACCTATCGGCGTGGACGCTAATGGGTCATGAATTTATGGAAATTAAGAACACCAATGCGGCCATTCAAAGTTATCGCAAAGCAGTCGGTAAGAGGACATAACCTTAATTATTGCTATTCTTGCTCAAATTGAATCTACAATTTTTTTTTCTCCAAACAGAGGTGAACATTCGCGAGTATCGGGCATGGTATGGTCTTGGGCAAGCATACGAAATATTGAAGATGCCATCGTACAGTTTGTACTACTATAAAATTGCACAAGAGTTGCGCCCGTACGATAGTCGAATGTTGGTTGCACTTGGTGAAACCTATGAGAAACTTGAGCAATATTCAAATGCTCTTAAATGCTATCAAAGAGCATACACTGTTGGTGATATCGAGGGTATGACGTTGCTCAAGCTTGGAAATCTCTATGAAAAACTTGGCGACATTGAAAGTGCCGTACCAGTTTACATCGAATTTTGCAAAGACGAACGAACAATCGTCGATAAGGCATCATTATGCCGTGCTTATATTACGCTTGGAAATTACTATGAACGAAGTGGCAAGTTTGATGAGGCCTCACGTTATGCACACAAATGTTTAGGATTCGATGATGTTAAAATTGAAGCTCAGGCACTATTGAATACGATAAAAAATAAACGAAATATTAGTCCATTGTCACCAACAATGGAACCAATCGATCCGGCTCCGGAAGTTGAAGACCCATCAGTATCGCCGTCTACATCGCAACCAAGCACACGGTCACTTCGTACATCAATCATGCAAATGTCCATGGACATGGAACTATCGAATGGTGAAGGCGATGATGACAGTGACACAAGCAGCACAGACACATCCGAATAAATTCCAGTTTTCAATATTCATCGATTCATTTCAAAATTGATTAGTTATATACTCGTTAAAATTAAATTTTTCTCCACATAAAATGTATTTTTTTTTAGAAAATGAAATAAACAAAAAACTCATCGTTGAAAAAATATACATTAAATGTAAACAATGAGGTTTTTTATTGAAACACCTGCCGGCTAACACCAACTGTCATTAGTTGCCATGGTTAATCGTATAATAAACAATATACCAAGTGACGTTTATGTTTCACCCTAATTGTCAATATTTTGCTATTTTACTAGTTAAAAGTCGGAAATATACGTAAAAACAAAAAACAATGCCACAAGACGGAAAAAAGATGATTTTCGATCGAATTCAAATGACGGAAAACTTTTTCGGTGACTTGTGCTCGGAATTGTCAAGTTTTACAAAGAAAAAAGCACGGTTCGTATAATTTGGGGAATTTTTTCTTTTCAATTTGTATAAAATTTATTATTGATAGACATTTTAATTATTGATTTACACAGGCTAAGAGATAAATACGATGAGCTTGGTCGTATATTCAGAGGATATGCCGAATCGGCCCGTTTCAACGAGACATTATTCAATGGACTTCTAAACTATTCCAAGTCATGTACTGCACTGGCCGATATCAAGGATATCGAAGTTCGACGACTCCAGTCAAAGGTATGAAGCATATTTTCCGTAGTTTTGTTTTGAATTTATATTTTAAAGAAATGCTCACTTAGACATTACGTGATTTGGCGAACTATGAAAATGTATGCAAGAATGCAAGAGATGCTTTGAAACATTCATTACTTGCGCGCGGAAAAGAACATTTTAGGCAGAGAGCAAATCAACGAAATTCGGTAAATTACCAACACAATACGTATTTCATAAAATGCACTCAATCTCTTTCATTCGATTTATGTAGCTGATTGAAAAAGAGTCACAACCAGCCGAAGGTAGTAAATCGGGGCAAGACTTTGAAGCGAATTTAATAAAATTCGAACTACAGAAAGTGCATGATATTCGAGAAATTTTGCTTGAATTCACCTTGATCCAGTTGAAAGAAAATGTAAAATCGATGGAAATGCTAACATCAATGTATAACGATATTGTGGCAATCGATACGGAGAAAGACGTGGAAGTAAGAAATTTTGAAATATTTTGTTCGGTGTGATTTTCAGAATATCGGTTGCAATAAATTTCGAATACTTGTTATTATGAAATATTCAATTTTATTTTCAGGAATTTGAGCAAAAGTTCTTGAACAAAGAGCCAAATAGTTTGAAACCATCAAATCGATCACAATCGATGAGTGCCTTAACGAAAACGACAAAATATGATAAACTAACCACCAATTTGTCGAACAGCACAATGTCGCTCAATTCACCAAACAAAGATATTCATTCAAACTTGAAGAAAGACACACATCAGTCCAGTGAGGATAGCGAATTGGATGATGAAGAAGAGGAGGAGGAGGATGAAGACGTTAGTAGTAAATCGACTGAAGAAACGACCGAAAGTGAGGTATCCAGAGACACTAAAGATACAAGATGCAGCACTGAAAATCAGAGCAGCAGTGTCTGTGTAGATGACAATGATGATGTTCAAATACGACCAGTTAAAGCGATACCCAGAAAACGATCAGGCCAAGATAAAGCGGAACCAGAGAAAGAAAGAAGTGTGCCAGAGCAACCACGACCGGTTCCACAAGTTAGATTTTCAAAAATGATAAATCACATGAAGAAATGAATAACAAATCAAAATCATTTTCATACAAAAGGATTTCACGTCGAAGTACAAACCGAAGAAAACTTAACGCTGAAAAATTTGTTAAATCGATACTTATAAATAAAAGAGTAAGCAAAGTAATTCAATAAAAAAATGCTTGTTCATCTTTTTTTATTTAATTTTTCCAGACGTTTATTAATTCTTACATGCAATCTTTTACATAAATATATTGTTCCAAATTCATAATGTCATATTTGCTATTTCAATTTGATCTGTTTGTTTAGCTCGCACCAGTGTGCACTGAGCATATTATTCGGTTGTGTGTTATAAAAAAAAAGAATCGATTTACAATGTCACTGATTATGCGGCGTTTGGCATTCAATTCTATATATTCATGATTTTATGTTTTATGAAAAAGAGTTGTGTGCTTAAATCGAACGTTAAGATGCTTATCAAAAATGGAACAAAATATCATAAAATTATAAAATAAATTACACTAATACGAGATGGGTTTTGAATTTGTGTGTTTTCATCAGATTGTACGAATATTGGCTTACTCATAATTGGGTGTATCTGTGTGTTTTTTCTGAGAATGCAATGAGACAGCCTATCTATCAAATTGTTTATGGTTCTTTGCCAATTGGAGCCTCAACACCTGCCTGTGTCATCAGATCACCGATGCTCTTCTCCAAATCATCAATTCGATTCGACATGTCATCAATGCGTGAAATTACTTGGTCCGACATCGATTGAAATTTATCTTGTACATTTTGCAGCAATGTTTGCACCTAAATATTAATACAATTACAATTAGTACTTTGGTTCTATATAATGCGAAAAATCATTCTATTTTCTTATCAAATATGAAATCAGCTCAAAATACTCACATAAATTGTTAACTCTTGTACATTTTTCGGGTCAGCTGCGTTAAGCGCGTAATTTTGATCGATGTCACTGCTAATTTCTGATTTTACACCGTCCGACATTGTTCTTTATTTAAAATTATGTTTTTTAATACGAGAGCTTTTGATGATTTGAATGAAATAAACAAAATTTTGCTCTAAAAATTTCAGTAGATATGCACAGCCAAACAATGCAATAAAATGAGTATTTTTGCGTTGTGTGTTACTGTGTGATTGGAATGTCAAAGACTGAGGCCTATCCATTTGCTGTGTGTTGAATATCATGTATGGTACACATACTGAATATATCGATTTAACATGTTTGTTGTGAAGCAGTTGCTAGGTTTTTTTTCGCTTTCGTTATTCTAATGTGATTTGATTGATTTTTCATTCAGCATGAGATAATATTATACGAACTACGAACTGAACGAATTTTTTTTTGCTTGATTCCCTTTCCACACCTTTCCAATATTTTTTTTCATATTTTTTTTATATAATTTTGAATATAGGATATTGTCATGGTTAACATTGTATTAGCAAAGACTAATATCATTAGCGAAGACTTGAACCGTTTATTCACTTGTTGATGTTTGGTTACAAACCGGTGTCAAGTCGTACAAATTGATTTTTTATTTAATTCAAACGAACTTTGCCACGATTAGAGATGGGCCCTTCATAGATGTTTGAAAACAAACGTTTACGTTCACATTCTACCTTGAGACGGCACAACATGGCAATCACCGGTAGACCATTAGTTTCGGTTTTCCTCTGCAACTGTTCAGGCACCGTTTTGAACGGACGCGATGTACGCTTCAATGTTGGCACCAACAATGATGATAAAAACCATTGGAAATCGTCGCGAACGGCACTTTCGCTTTTTGTTTCGAACATTTCAATCGGTGTTGATGACCTAATGTTGGAAGAAACAATTTATTTAGAGATTGACTAAACAACATGGATTTCTCTTCTTTAACATTTGAGGCAATAGGCAATATATACTTTAAAAAATATCCATAAAAAACAAACCTTGATTCCGTTGGACTAACGTGCTTAAAAAATGCTCGTTCCAATTCATGACAACTAATCATTTTGGTCATCGTCAGAAAATTATCAATTTTATTTAAATGATTTAATTAAATCAAAGGAAAAGATCTGATTTAAAATTTTAATGAATTTATGAAAAAGATTGAAATTTAATTTCAAGAAAAAATTTATGAAGATTTCAAAAAAAAAAAAGATTGAGATTTGATTTCAAACAAAGAAATATGTTGATAAAATTTCGTTAAAGAAATCAAAAAATATCACTGGAAATGATTTTTTTTTGTATCTAAACTGCCTGGAAAAAATAAATATCGAAAGGATTCCTCCGTTGTGTGTGTTCAACGACAGCACGAGGATGAATGCCAGATTTTTCAATCGTCAGTTTGCATCTCGACTCGATTGCAATAATTATCAAGTTGTGTCGAATTGAAAAATACATAATTACGAGTTCAAAGTGTGAAACGACCGTATGTACACAATATGACATGTCAAAGTACACAACTGATTAGAGAATACGGTCAAAAAGTAGCTAAGGTCATTAATGATTTCCAAAGAAGTCGACACATAGGTAAATGGCGATCATTAACAATGCTTTAGATTCAAATGTATTGAAAAATTCCTCTTTTCGTTTCTTTTTTTACAATCTTTTTATTACATGATGTTTATACAAAATTATTTTTACATTGTGTGTTTTCTTTTATTGAATTGTTTGTGAAAATGTAGGGTTATTGTACATAAAATGTATTTCAATACAAAAAATAATGTTTTGGAACTGGGCTATTTGCATTTTGCTTTCGGTTTGCTTGGTTTATTGTGATTGAACATTGACATCGGCCATTGCGTTACACATATCAGTAATATTGGTGTCTTCGGTTACGTCCATGTTGCATGACATATCAAATGATGGGGGTTCTCCATCTTTATTCTCAAACTCAAGCTTCGGCGTTGAAGAGCGCATCGGAAAAGCATTTCTGAAAAGACAAAAACTAGAAAGTATAAATAAATTGAAATTGACTATATAAATTAGAGAATTTTCAAGAATGGAAAAAAATGCTATGATTCCAAGAAGTTGGAAACAAAATGTTATATTTACCTTGTTGGTTCATCAACGTAGTCTGTGTCTTCGAACAAGTCGTCAACTTCGGCCAACATTGAATCATTCAGGCTGGTTTCAACAAACGCAATATTCAATTTATCTCCGCTCTCCATTGTTCTTCGTCAAAATGTTAAAATTTCACCGTCAATTGATACTGTGTGCGACAAAGTTGAACTGTTGAAAATATTATTTCGTATTGTTTTGGGCGTCAACTGACTTAGGTCTTATTCGAACTAAAGACAACTAGATACTAAACGCAACTGTTCGGTAGTCAATGTTAAATATACATGATACAATGGTTACTATGACTTATTTTGAATATTATGTACAGCTAATGACAAATTTAAGCGTCAAATACAACAAGTACAAAAATACTAATTATTCCATATTTCACCTTAAACATTATTCTCATCTAAAAATTATTCTCAATGTTATTCGTATTTTTATTATTTCTTCGAAGGTTTTTTTACATTGTTTTGACAATGCAAATGGCAAAAATGCAAATATGTAGTTAATCCGACTTAATTTTGTTCTGTAACTTGAACGAGAGCAAAACAATAACCACCGGCAGCAAGTGAGTGCATACATTTTCCAGGTAATTGTACTTTGTGCGGTTCGTGTCTGCAAAGAAGATGCAATAAAAATTTTGTTTTTTGGCATTTTTTTTTTTATTTTCAACAGAAAATGACTTACAGATTTGTTTCATTTCCATTGCCACAGTTGCCATGTTCATTCCAACCCCAGGTAAACGCATTTTTGTGTTCAGTGACGACAAGCCCATGTTCTGCGCCAAGATAAAATTGTTCAATTTTTCCATCGATGCCTTTCAGCTGAATTAACTCATTTGCGTTGTCGCATTGCAAACTAGCCAATTGTCCGTATGTATTTCGACCATACATGTATACACGTCCACTTGTGGTCAACACACCATTATGTGCCCATCCACTTCGCAAACATCGAATATCATCATTTAATATTTTCTTTTCAGTGCATTGTAAGAACTTATTGTCACCATAACCGATAAGCCAAACCGACGCCGATGAATCTATGCATACGCAGACGATATGATTTGACCCGCTTGAAATGTCTTTAATCGTGTGATTAGGTGGAATAATGATTTTGTAGAAATTTGTGTCATTATGCATAATTACTTCACAGGTGTCTAAAAATCTCCATCGTCCAACAATGTACACATTTTGACTTTCGCACAATATACACATGTAACGCAAACCAAAGCACACTTTCTTTGCTTTTTCGTTCAATGGCAGATTCAATAGCATTGGAAACGTAAAGAATGTGCCGATAAAATTGGCTGAAAATCCAAGTTGATCGAACGCATTTGATCCCCATACATACAAATTGTTTTGTTGATCGATAGCAGCAGATGAGTCCCATCCACACGAAATGTCAACGATCGGCACATCTGTTTTCATTAGTGGCTTTATTGTCAGCGAATCGATAGTATTACACATGCCTAATTGACCTTTACTATTCCATCCACAACCGAACATTCTGCCATTCTTATCCAATATTAACAAATGACCACCACCTCCATGCATCTTTTCAATATTTTCTAAATCAAGTGAGACATCCAATGACAATTTTTGTGGTGTTGTACACATTTCTGATTTGTAGCCCAAACCAAGTTGTCCATGAGAATTTGCACCCTGTTCATTAAGTTATATATTAGGATTTTGCTTTAGCAGAAAGAATAAAATTTATTTCTTACCCATGAGTACAAGTCAAACATGATTTTTACCGGCAAATTCAGATCGGACGATACTAGAGAAAATTCGTTCTCATGGTTTTTATTTGTTTACATTGAAACGTCAAAGTCACATGTGTTCAACATAATATACTGTCAAAAATGACACGAAGTGTACAAGTTGACACATAGATGGCATATTATTCTAGTGAATGAAACTTTTAAATTTATTTGGATCAATGAGCATTATCAAATGGATATTTATGATTTAAGGGCAAGAATTGAACCTATTTATCAAATTTATAATTTCTTATTTCGTACAAAAACCATAAGAATATCTAAAAGCAATTTGAAACCTAATGAACGGGCCGTTGACTTATACTCATATATGCACTCGCATTTCATTATTTTATGAAACAAAAATTGTAAAATGGGTCGAATATCTGAAAAACATTTCTTCGTATACTTTTGAACCAAATGTTGTATTCCGCTATTCTACATATCATCAACATATAATGAGAATCATTCGTTTTTTTTTTTTAAATTACCACAGCAAAATTATGAGAGCACAGCCGAAATTCTGTCTAATATATATAAAAAAGGAACATGTTTATTTAAATTTCTTTATTTTTACATTTGATTTAATATTTGAATGAAGCTACATTGTAGTAGTTCTCACAAAAAAAAAAAAAAAATATATCAAAGTTACAGGAAAGCAATTAACAATTTTTTTTAAATACTAGAACTATATGCTTGAAAATAAAAGTTAAATGCGTAAAATATTTTCGTTATAAAACAAATAAAAAATTAGATTTTACGTTTCATAACAACTCCAACATAATTGCAAAGAAGCATTACCCTCCTACCACCTTTTGCATACTCGGGATCAATCATTACATTCCAACCGCTACAAAAATGTGCACAAACATCATCGAATGTTATTGAATTTAAAAAGAATTTGAATGATTTTACCGTTTGCAATACATTAATTAAAGAATTCACTTCATCTGTGGATTGAAAGAAATGCTTCCAAGAAAAATCTGTTAACGAAGGCAAATATTTTTGCAACTCTGGAAACAAAGCCCAGCCGCCACCATACATGCATAGACTCTTTATTGATGGATTTTTTTTTATAAAGTTCAAAAAATCTGTGTCGATTTCCGATCCCGAAACTTCCAAGGTATCAAGTTTATCAAATATAAACGGAATGTTTGGATTGCGACGCATGGAATATTTAAAATTGTTTACATTTTCCAAATAAATTATATCATCACCCTGTGCAGAAAGCGACAACTTTCCATTGAATTTGAAAGTTTGAAGATTCTTTAACTTTTCAATCGAATTCTTCAGAACCTTTGCATTGAAATCACTACAAAGATTAAGACTTTTTATTTGTGGATTAAGAGCCAATAATGGTTCAAACCACTCATATATAGGACCATAGTCATCTTTAATAGCCGAAATTTCCAAAAAATCCAAGCGAGGAAAATGTTCTACATTTTGAAGAATTTGTCTTTTAGTATAGTCAACGGCGTCGTTATATAATAAAAGTTTCAGAGTCTGGAGATTTGGGAATATTTCTTTGAGAGTATGCTTATTAGTACTTTGCACGATAGTACCAGTAATGCGCACAGTTTCAACTTTAGTCAAAGTCTGATCAAAATATTCCAATTGATCGAGATTTATTTCAACTTTTTTCAAACTCTCGGCACAATATTCACCAATATAATTAAACACATATGTATCAGGCTTGAGATCGCGGAGATCTATGCTGGAAATTAAGCCCCCAAAACAGCGCAAGAATTTTAGAATATCTTTCAAGCCTTGAATATTAACATAGTGTTTACCTATACTTGATAAAATATTTACACGATAAGAAATATCTTGCGTTAAAGCTATGTCACGTAGTCCCCATTTACGCAAAAAAACAAAACCAGACGCTTTATTTAGTCGTTTATTCGAATCAGCAGCGTTAATAATATCGTAGATATCCAAATACTCGAAAATACTTTCGATGCAATCAATATTCAGATCCGTCAACTTCATTTTTAGGCTTAAAACTCCAGTATTGTCTATTTGAAAAATAAAAATTTATTTTATTGAAATTGAATAATGAAAATTCACACACATCAAATAAAAAATTACATCTAAACTCGTTTAGCTCTACTAACTTTTGTAAAAGTATATGAAATATTGACTGTTTTCCGAAATTTATTTAAGAATAATTTAACAGAAAATTAAGTTATAACATCTGCAACTAAAAACCGGCTGTGTCAAACACCTATTCACACTGATCCGAAGACTGAAGAAAGAAATACAAACAATGCTAAAGATGCATAGAGAATGGTTTCTCTGCTTCATCGTTAACGATCTTCGGCTGCAAATTCTTCTTCTTGCATTTTAAACTGTACCAAAAACAACAAATAGGTAATTAGGCCGCACCAACACTAAAAGACAACATTTAAAAAGACGTTTTGTTTGACTGAGTGTTTTTTCTTTTTCTATTGATTTGTCTCACCGAAAATAGGAAAGCCGCATTATGGGGAGCATAATTTTTTATTGTAAATTCAATTTTGTAATTAATGGACCACATCTCAAAGTTTGCACACTAAAATCCATTAAAACCATCGGAAATTTAGACGAAAATAAAAAAAAAGTTACCCAGCACATACCAATTGACTGAGTTGTTTGTTGTTACTGTTTTTGTCAAAGCGTCGAAAGGCATATTTGCATTTATTGATCTGGAAAAAAATATGTTGAAATTAAAAACTAAATTAATGGAAACTCCCTTTTTAATAATGTAAATTTACCGCAGCATAAGTCGAATGACGAGCGATGATAATCGAGAACATTTTGAAAACCTCACTAATGAGTCCATAAAAAAAATGGACAGACACTGAAAAACCAATTTCACGTAATTTTGCATCGGAAATCATTAAGAAAATGACATACACTTGGATTAAAACGGTCATAAAACCTCTGAAGATTTCGTTTGCAAAAATCCATCCAAAAGTCTCATCATATAAAGCGATCAACTGTGTGATTTCACGAAATAATTCGAATATTTTAAGTAGTTGCATAAAAAATGCATTTTCTACGTTTTTGTCACATATTTCTACTTTCAAATAGCGTCTATAATCACGATGCAATTGTTGATAAACGGTGTGCGTCAATCGGTATCTTCGTTCGATTAAAAAAATGTAATTGGCCAATGCGAATACTTGTGTAGTTAAAATGAAAAGTTCTAAATAGTACAAAATAAAAGCAGTAACCAATGCCCAATACCCAATACCAAGTTTATAACTGAAAAATGCCATAATGATGATTTCAATGCCAAAATAAGTGTAAAACAATGAAAGCGCAGAAAATAATTTACGTTTATAACTTTTATGATTAACACTCGCATTGAAATTAATTCGAAATTGTTCGTCGATTGCTCTCATCTTTTGCAAAAATTCCATTTGTTGCTTGTGAACAATTGCATTGATAATTTGATTTAAAATAAAGTGAATATTTGTGGATGCAATTGCATAATAGCACAATATTCGCCAAACCATTCCGCTCGGTATGAGTTGAATAAACATTTCGGATGAATTCCAATAAAACACTATCGTATACATCATGCCGAGAATAACTAACGTAATTGATAACGAATACAGTTTAATCATCCAGCATGATTTTAACTTTTCAGTTGTATGATCCAAATAAAATGGTGACACACATAAAATGCGCTGAAGTTGAATTACTGCATCAATTGATTGCCACAGATTCCACGCAGACATTTTTCTTTTGATTTTGATACAAACACGTACGGTTGAAGACTAAGCTACTGTCACCTGATCACATTGACTTTTATGGAATTGGAATTTCAGTTCAATTTCATTAATCTTTTCGATAAACAAAATTCCAAAAAGCAATCAAATTATATCGAAACATTCATATCGTTTATTTTTGGTACTGTGTATTGTGATCCATGTGTAATAAAAATGTGGAACACGCAAAGCGCATTTTTAATCAACATAATCGAATTAATTTGATTTTAACTACGTATTTCGTGGTTCGCAGCAGGTCCATTAAAAAAAATCGAAGTACAAAGTGTACAGTAGCAATCAAAATATATTTTCCAATATATTTACTATGTTTCGACTTATTTTAATAATAATTAAAAGCGACGGGCGATTTGTACACATTTTTAAAATTATTCAATTTTAATATTTATTAAAATTTAATTTCAAATCCAATAAATTAAAATTTTACAAAATTAATAAAATAAATATTTTAAATGTATTCCATTTTAATATCTTATATATGTAATGTATTTTACAGCGATAACGTTGAGCTACCCAAGGCACAATTGTTGGCACAAATTCATCCATTATCGGGCATATGTTGACGGTCAATATTGGGGTTGGATTTGTGTGTAGTTTCAGTCAATTTTACCGTCAAAATGGAAAGGAAAAAAAGAAAAAAAAAACAATTCAGTTAGATTGAATGCAAAAATAAACTATCAATTCAATAAAGTACTCACCTACGGGTTCTTTTATATTCCGCACAGCCCTAAATAGGGACCCGTACTGCGGTCAAGGGTACAATAGAAATCCTTAGATTTAAACTATTCACGCCTAGTAACTAACAAAATTGTTAAAATATTCTTCTTATGATTATTGTTGATTTTATGCTGCTATCAGTTGACATTGTTCGCATGGTGTGGATTGTCAGGTCTCTTCAACGAATCGGGCAATGGTATGCCAAAAAGACGACACATTCCTATAAAATCAGAAACAAACACAAAACATTAATCAATTAATATGAACACTGAACACCTAACGCTCTGCTCTCTATTCTCAATTTAATATTAATACAATATACAATTATGCACATACCTTTGAATAAAATATTCTTTGCGGCAACAATGTCACGGTGCCAAATGACTACGTGCTCAATCATGTCTTCTGGTGCAGCATCACCCAATTCATGGTATTCTCGAGTTAATGACCAAGTTTTGAAGATAACTTTTATCTTTGGCACTAAACGCTCGATGTTCTCACGATCTGGATTGATTGCTCTCTCTACAATTCGCTCTTTTTTAAGCTCTTGTCTGCTCAAATTCGTCACAATTATCGGTGGTAGTCCAACAATCGGTTTTGGTATGCAATTTCGACAAATTTTGAATCGATGATTTTTGGTTTCTCTTGGAAATCGCTCGTGACAATTGGCACACGTTATTGATGTACCCCATTCATCTTGAAAACTGACCTTTGTGTGCTCTTGTTTCTTGAAGCTGGTCGCCAATTTACGCGTTCCTGGGCATCTTTTCCGCTTCTTTATGCCCCATGGCCGATTTGGTGCCATTTCTCCAGCACCAATCCAAATCCAAGACGGTTTGTTGTTCGTTACCCGCATGGCAACTTTATCACTTGTTTTGGTAGCCTTGATGTGGTGATCGAGATCCAATCGTGCATATTTTCGAGTCGCATATGCTTGCATTCCCATTCGTAGCATTTTGATGCGATGCAGAATGTACGCTTTCCATGTGGATCCACGCGGCGATGGTATCACTGGGTACGACTTGAAATCCATTTGTTCTTCTTCAACAAACCACCAGGTCAATCGATCTGCCTTTCGATCTCTCTTCTTCTGCTCGGTTTGCCAATGAAATCGTGGATTGGATATTTTAATGTTTTCCTGTTAAATAATAACGTCAAATTTCAATCACGTTCCGAAAAAAAAAATGTAATAACAAACTTAATTTACCTCAATGTTTGAATTGATATGGCGGCGCACAACGGCCACCCACGTTTTCTCGTTAGGATCGATGGCACTAGCATATGTCATGTTGTTAAATGTGGCCTGCTCCGAATTTTCCACCCAAGCCTTCGCTGGCTTCTCGTACAATATTGACACGCAAACACTATTGGTGATGATTTGCGAGTGAAACCGCTTCTGCTTGCCGATTTGTTTGATTTTATCCATGTCGAAAACCAAATTCCACAATTCATCTCGATGGCCGTACAAGTAATAGTCCAGTGTGTATTTGTTCATTCGATTGGTCAGCGGATTGCGAGAACTGGGCACCACTCCTAGTACAGTGTTCGCCAAATAATACATATCTGTCATATCCAATCGAACGTTTTTCAGTTGGAATCGGCATAACGGGACAAGTGCGAAATTGTTCACTTTTGGCGGTCGATTGTTCGTTATCAATCCATCGCGACGGAACGCATGCCATTGTTGTGCATATTGATGAAACACTTCGATTTGGCGTTGCATTTGACCGAACATCCACAGTGATTGGAACCAATTGTCCTTAACGAACTCATTGACAGTGACCGGAACCAATTGTTCATTATGAACTTTTTGACACTGCCAACCGATTCTTTCCAGTTCATACAATAAAATGTTCATCTTATTTGTTCTCTCTACATCACCATGTGTTAGATCTTTGTTACTAGTGGCGTAAACTTTTGCGTTTCGTATATCGATGCCGTCAAATTTTGATCCATTGTATTGATGACCATTGATATTCATGTTATAATACCAGCGTTTCATTTGAAAAAACGATTCAACATGTTCTGAACAATGAGTGTTGAGATTGGTCTGATTATTTCGAATGTGATCTTGGTAGAAATAATTAAAACCATTTCCCAGGCATTCTTTATCGGGCCATTCAAAATTCTCTACACCGAAGTGTGCCTCGACAATGTTACGAAAAGCTGGCGGCATTAGTTCCTCTCTGTCGACTTTATCGGCTAAAACACCGTTAAAGCACTCGATGAAAAATGTTTTACCGTTTTGTAGAAAAAATTGTCGGTTCTCATCATCGATGGCTTCTTGAATTTTGTACAACGCCAACAATGATGCCAGTGACGAAATCAGTGTCATTTTGTAGCTTCGATGATCCAAAAACTGAATCACTCTGTCGCGATATTCTTCCCGTATGATTGACTTGACGCCTTGTTTTATGACTACAAGGTTCTTAATGTCGTCTTTCCTTTCGGGTGGACTGTATAAATGAAACGAAAACAAAGAAAAACATACACACTTATTTAAAAAAAACTGGTCACAAAACAATATCGCGAAATTGCATCGAAAATCCAATGAAAAAAAAAACACAGAATAAATATTAAGAAAAACAATGCTTACATATTAAATTGATCCTCTCTTGATCTTGTTCTACTCATGGTTTAATCAATCAATCACAATTTCTGGTGCTTTTCCAAATATTATGGGATAGTTATCACTATTTTCGGTTGCAATCAATTCGCATCAATTTCACAATTCAAATTGTAATTTTTTATGTGTTTTCAAATAGCTTCACAGCGCGAACGGTAACTTTGAACTAAAATGAATGCAGAAATGCACCGATATTTATAGCAAATTATTGCTGTATTGCAAAAAGTCAAGCCTCGAAAACTAAAATGACTGGAATTAAACGATTCTATTGATACATCAATATATGCAAACAAATTTACAATATTTTCATTCAACAACTCAATCACTCCACTTTGATTTGCCACAAAACTCTGCCGAAAATGCATTTTTAAACAGGAACATAACAAATCACAAACGAGAGAATTGTCGAAATGGTTTTTTTTTTTTCAAATGTGTTTCGATGATTTGGAATATTAACAGTAATACTTTATAAATGTTCTGTCGTTTGAATTGAAAACAGAAACAGACACAAAATATTTCCGCAAATATATCCATCACATTTCGTGAACACACGATATCGTTGTATCAAAACACTGACGAAGCACATCACAAAAACAAGCGGTGATCGGGAATACTGTTGTACGGTCAAAATTCTACAGTTTGTTGCATTCGCACTAGTATTTCGTTTACAGAAAAACAAAAACACAAACACATATTATATTGTCTCTCTCACATGTTTCGTTTCTTTGTGCTGTGACATAAAAAAGCCATTGATACAATATTAGCACTAAAATCCATTTGTCTTATTTTATCATGTTGAAAACTGAAATAGGTTGTCATTTTGAATTTAATTTGTTTGAAAAAAACAACAACAACGCACATTTTCTGACCGCTAATAAGAACAAAGAAACTCGTGCGTATGAAAATTCGATTGGAAATCATGGATATACTCTACATTCCGTTTGACACTAAAATGGCCACATAATTATCCTTGTGAATGTGTGACTCTCTCTGTTGTGCATTTGTGTGTGTACAAACTTTCAATTGTTTATATGCGCGACCGGTTCAATATTGCATGTTTCAAACCGAAACACCGAATGAATTTGTTTATATCACTTTCCCTCACACACACACAAACTCTGTATTCGTAGCGATATTTGACTTTTTGAATTTGTCCAACTGAATTTTAGGCGACGGAGAATGCAATCGTATGAGATTGTTGTTGTTGTATACCAAAAATCATCTCTTTCTAAACTGGCGGCACTTCTCAGTATAGTTTTGGCCGCCATAAAAAAATCAATCCCGTTAAATATTGAATAGAGTGATTTGTTTGTTTGTGATACATGTTAAATCGAAGCACAAAAAATTCCTTTGCTACATTAATTCTGTTGAAAACTGAAAAATGTGAATACAAACTTTGTGTGTACTCCAGTTGAAAAGAAAACAAATCTGAATGGCAACTCATTATATTTCGTTGTGATTTTGTGTATTGAAACATTTTTGTCAATACACTGTAATTTTGTCGATGTGTGATGTTCAATATTCAACTGATCCTTGCCTTCTTAATGATGCTGGACATATGTATGAATATAAGTGATACAAAATGCAATCAAACAGCGAAAACAGTCGATAGAATTGTTGATATAAATTTTATGTAAACAAAATCGAACATTTGAATCTCATGTTACACATACTTTCATTCTTTAAACGAGTAAGAGTCAGCAAAACGCGCATTGTATCAATACCGTTGTATGCTTTGAGATTCAAACAAAAACGGCAACACATTTGAGTGAGTTTGAATGAGACTGAAAGACTAATAGGAGAAATAAATTGTAAAATGTTAACGTAATAAATGAACAATTTTATTAGAAACTATGCATATAATCAACTTTCCATTGACACGAAAATTACCACCGAAATGGGTGAAAACGTTACATTTTTCAACGTTAAAATAGATAAAAAACGTTACATTTTTGTTTGCTGGGTAATGCCTGCATCGTCATCGAAAAGAGAAAATCGAATTAAAAACAACAACAAACCAAAGAAAACCAGTTCATCTTGCCATCAACAACCAAATGAAAAATTATTAAACATTTTTTTTTTTTTGTGATTAATTGTATCATTCATTTCTGTGTCTGTTTATTTGGTTATTTGTTTTGCTCTATTTTGATGTGTTTGTGTATAAAATGCATTCAAATCCAAAATGAATTTTGAATCAGGCAGAGTAACCATCATTTTCAATGTATAACATAGTGTAATTTGATTTAAATTGTATTTTCACTGTAAATTCTTTGGTGAGCTTAATGTCAACATCGTTTGGATATTTGTGAAATAATTTACCGTCATCAGTCGATGCCTCGGAGAGTAATATTTTACCGGAGATATATTGTTTGTACACAAAATATAAAACATTGATGTATTTTATGTAGTTGTTCATGTGAACACGATTATTTTGGCAGTCGTGTCGTTCAAAATAACTTCATGTAATATTGATATAAATATTCAATTAGATTGATAAAAATCGTATTTCGTTAAAAGCATTACGTTTGTCATTTTGGTTGTGATCAACAACAATTATTTTGCACACCAAATATTATCGCTTATCTTCATCGCGTTCCCACATAAACGTCATTTTAATTAAAAATTCATAAACGTAATTTGCGCGCTTTCACGACTCCTCATGACGGTACACATCATTACGAAAAGAATGCATGGCCAAGCAAAATAAACTCAAGCATATATCACGAGGGCCAATCTTTATCAAATTTGCTTCCGACTCCGATACCTCCAAAAAAACATACTATTTTTTCTGACCAACTTACACCAAAAAATATCCAGTGATTTTATCTGATCACACGACCACGCCAGAGATTCACTTAAAGAAAAGAGAAAAGCAAACCAACAACGATAACCACGTTTAGAAGTTGATCATGTCCACCGCAAAACCATACTGAATGATTCGACACATTTGGTTGACGGAAAAACGTTGTGATGATAATAGAAAGAGAATGTGAAATCGACCCATTTGACCGTTGGTGACCCTGCATAAGCGAACGAAGTAAGTGAACCGAAAATCAAGGCGACACACTGTTTTTTTATCAATGCACTTTTAATTTCCATCAAAACACAGTTGACAGCAGAACAAGACGACACTTAATTGGAATGGAAAGTGGTTATTTTTAGAATAATACTGTCAAAAATAAAATGCTTTGATGATACACTTGTGAATGAACACTTACTCTTACATTGCAATTTTGTCTGCACATTTAAACGAAGAAATCGAAATTTAAAATAATCATGCAAAACATTGATTGTCATCTTGCGTATCGCATGAACAAATCATGCTCGATTCGTGAGAGCAAACAGTCAATTAATAAATATCATTCATACGCACGAGAGAGAGTGAACAACGAAAAAAGTGGCCATGGTATGGTTGCAATTGCATTTTGCACGTCATTTTGAATGTGCGTGTCTTTAACAGCTAGTCAATGAATCGCAGTTCAGAATTCAAAAGAGAGAATTAAACAACCATATGAAGTGTCCAAGTGGAGTGTTGAAATTTTTCGTTGCGCTGACTTAATTTATTCGTTTTTGGTCGGAATTTCATGTTCAACTGCCAGCATTTTTATCATCAACTTTTCTTTTGTATCGAATGCCTTTTTCTCAATATAGCATTGGCGGTTTTTTTTTTGTGTGTGTGTGTGGAACTTTTGGCATTGCATTCGGGAGACAAAAGCCTTACTGAATGGAAAATCGAAACGAACAATAACAAGACATTTAATCGATGAAATTTATGTAATTTTTTAATTCATAATTTATCAGCGGTGACGAGAGAGCAAAATATATATATACGATCCCACGTTAAATGGCAACCACGAAGACGAACCGAAATGTATGCACGCTTATCAAACCAACAAGTCGAATTTATGCGAATGCCAATGTAAAGGTAGAGAGGAGCAAACAGAGAGGGTCGAACTTATCGAAAAGTCGTGTTGACATGCCGAATGAACAAACCGATTATGATACGGTCGCATTTTAAATGTTCACATTTTCAATGCCTTTATTTATGCATTCGAGTAATTATGTTATCAAAAGGAGTTTTGTGAACGAGAGAAGCGCACGCCGCGCACGACAACCCGATTCTTTTGAAGCGAATACATATTTTCAGGTTTGCATTCAATTTATGAGCGATTCAATCATATAACTTTTTTTTTAATTTCACAATTTTTTCTCAACGATTTTCATTTGAATTGACCTCAATGCAAAGGACCTCACTATCTTGGATAAAATAAAAATTCTCACAAATTCCATGTCTACGCTCACTTTCTCTGACTCTGTCTCTCTCTCTCTTTTCACAATTTTTCACTGTCGCAAGTTCTATAAATTTGGCCAGCAGATAATATGTGCCGTTATCATTTTCTCTTTTCCTTGTTTCCTGAACCGAGACACCATAAACAACATCGGTTTCATTCCAAGTGAATAAATAATACGGTAAAGGAATCAGGGAAATTCCGCAAGGTTCGAGAGAGAGAAAAAAAACGGTTAGCATAAATCTGTACCAATTTTGCGTGTCCCGTGTTTTTTTTTTTGTGTGTTCACTGGCCACGGTATGTGTTTATGCATTCGCCTCATCTTGGACGATGAACAAACAAAATGATGATAATTTTTCTTAATAAACCAAATTTGTAATCGGATTATAGAAGCAAAAGCATGAGTAAAGTGAATATTTATCGATGATGGCAAAATTACCGGCATGTCACAAATGTAATTGTTTGCAATATTTTCGCCGGTGTGTGTATTTTTTGCAAGGGGGAAATCACTCTTAAAAAGTAATTTTTGAAATTAGTTCACAATTAGTTTGCAATTACTTTTTTTCGCTCAAATTACCAATCTGTCAAAATTATTTTTATATGAAAAGTAATTTTGACAGATTGGTAATTGCAGGGAAAAAAGTAATTGCAAACTAATTGTGAACTAATTTCAAAATTACTTTTTTAAGAGTGATTTGCCCCTTGATTTTTTGCGTAGCCGATGCTTGTCGTGTCGTTCGTTGTACTTTCTTCTTCATTATTGTATTGCTCTTGTTCTTATCTTCCTATTTACATGGTGTTGCCGTGC